AAGACACCTGGTGTGGTTCTCAAGCTATATCTTGCTCTAGTTAGGCCCCATTTAGATTATGCAGTTCAGTTTTGGTCGCCATATTATAGAATGGATATAAATTCACTTGAACGTGTCCAGCGTAGGATGACTAAGTTAATTCCCCAAATTAGAAATCTTTCATATGAAGAAAGATTAACAAAGCTTAAGTTGCATTCACTGGAAAGGCGAAGAGTTAGGGGTGACATGATAGAGGTTTACAAGTGGATGAATGGACATAACCGGGGGGATATTAATAGGGTATTAAAAGTATCAACACAGGACAGAACACGAAACAATGGATATAAATTGGATAAGTTTAGATTTAGGAAAGACTTGGGTAAATACTGGTTCAGTAACAGGGTTGTTGATTTGTGGAACCAATTGCCGCGTAACATTGTGGAGGTGGGGTCCCTCGATTGTTTCAAGCACGGGTTGGACAAGTATATGAGTGGGATTGGGTGGTTATAGAATAGGAGCTGCCTCGTATGGGCCAATAGGCCTTCTGCAGTTACCTTTGTTCTTATGTTCTTATGTTCTTATGGGAGATCAATTGTAGGAAGACGAACTTCCTTGAGTGTTTCCTGTTTATTAGTTTCACTCGTGGTCAGAGTATTTTGTGAAACTGAGTTGCTCTGCAATTTTTCTAGATATTGTATTAATATATTTAGATGATCTTGGATACCCCTCGGCATGGAAGGCTCAGCATTCTGTTGCATGAGGACTCTGAGATAGTGATCTGCAGCCTCATTTGTTCTTTGCAAATTTTGCTTGGCAGTCTCTATGAGGTTTACTAATACTTTGGCTGTGGTACCTGATGAAACCAGCTGATCACACTTATTCAACTGTCGAGTCACATGGCCTTTGTGACTCGTGTATGATCTAAGAGACAGTAAGCAGTTGCTGGGCATTCCTTCTGGTGTACAGTCTGTGGATTTTGGCTTAGTTGGTACCATGGTTTAGTTATGAAAATAATTGGGGGTACCGATTCATATATATGAGGAACCAGTACAGTTATTGATAGCCTAATATTTGATTCTTTAGTTAGGCTATGTGAATCCTACCTCACATACACAGGAATTCCTCTGCTTAGCTCATCATAATCAGCTTCAAATCAAAAAGTAAACAGTAAACATATATAATATGATATAAGAAACATAATTTGTGTAAAATAATGATAAGTCCTACCCTGACTTGGGTTTGCATAATAATAAATGTTGACTAGGCAGTACTGCCTGGTACAATGCTAGTCTACTAGTAATTCTACCTATCTAGGTTGGCTAGTCATAATGAGTTAGGCTCAAGTTGTACACTACTCAGTACGATTCCAGTCTAAGAATTCTATTCTACATGGGTTGGCATATACTATAATACTACTGATGTGCAAATTCAGGATAGTACTATGCTTTTGTTTTTTTATAATTTTTGATTTATATAGTGTATATACAAGTGATTATATATGTGACAAGAATCCTAATGCTATAAATGATTATGTGTGTGGCAGGTATTTTACTGCTGTAATTCTATGTGTGTGGAAGATATGCGGCCGCAGATTCTATGCAAATGGCAGATATGCTGCCCTAAATTCTATCCTAGCACCTGACAATACTACTTAATTAAAGAGTATAATGATATCAGGGATGATAAAGGATTAATGAATTGTAGACAGGCTAACTCCTGGCTATGTTCTACTAATTATAGATTTTAATATTAAATGTGGTTCATCCGGTCCAAAGTCGACCATAAAATATATGGGCTCTGAGAAGCGGTAAAAATGTTAATATTAACTCTGGTTCCTTGGATCTCAAACAAGATCCTGGTTCGTAGGACCATAAAATATGTGGGGAAATCTGGCTCTAGTTTAATACTAATAAAATGTATAATTCTATAAACGCAAAACAATGACTAAATCTGAGACAGCTCGAAGAACCAGAATGCATTATTAAATGAGAGAACCAGTGATTTATGGATCTCTATGATTATATGTGAATAAATTCTATTAAGCAATGACTAAATTCTATGCATGCTTGAACAAGATTCCCATGACACATTTGGGGGGGGGGTATTCTATGAGATGAATCTATGTGCAACATATATTACGTAATAATAATGATGATAATATGCACACACATAGATAATGATAAAAAAATGTAATGCAAAAAATACTACTGCATATTAAAATTCAAATCATGTATCTGATAAATATGCAATGCTTAGAAATGCTTTGACTCTCAACAATTAAAAGGTACTATCTACAATGAAAACTGATTATATCTCTGCTGTGCCAGAGGGACGTAGGTGGAGTCCAATCTCTACAACAGGCTGGAAACAACTTGAGATAGTGATCCTTGGAACACGTGAGTATATGACAGTCACACGCTTCCTCAGTGGTGTTGCACTATGCTGCAATAATTAAATTTCTTAATTTCCACTCCAAATTAGTATTCACGCACATAAATGATATATCTAAATATTTGGAGGGGTAGAAACAGCACTCATATGGCGCTTATTTTGTCGCCTGCAACGTCACAACATCGCACCTATATTGATTATTACCAGAGCTCAAAATAATTACTAAAATAGGTAAAAATGTTTGCCAAACTGGTTTCCGTGATTCTGGTAAGCTGCGTCCTCAATCTGAAGCCCGATGATGTACGGATGCTTGCTAGATTGTAAGATTTGTAAGGACCGCTTTGAAACACTTTACTGCCAGTTGATCGAAAATGGCGAGTCTCCTTCCATCCCGAACATCGCACATGCGCATAGCTCCCAGTAGGGGGTTCGAGCATAAATTATATTTATTCATTAAAGCTAAATAGGGAAGGAAGCGTTTATAAACATTGTTTCTATCTCAATGAAATACTTTATGTGGTGATGTTTGATTCTCACAGTGCAGGTCAGTTAACGTAGGTTATCTTGAGAGGATTTCGGGGCTTTAGTGTCCCCGCGGCCCAGTCCTCGACCAGGCCTCCACCCCCAGGAAGCAGCCCGTGACAGCTGACTAACACCCAGGTACCTATTTTACTGCTAGGTAACAGGGGTATAGGGTGAAGGAAACTCTGCCCATTGTTTCTTGCCGGCGCCTAGGATCGAACTCAGGTCTACAGGATCACAAGTCCAGCGTGCTGTCCGCTCGGCCGACGGCTCCCTCGCTCGGCCGACCGGCTCCCTGCACAAATAAAACGAGAATCCTTTGGAGGTGGATATGATTTTCGATTATGATATTATTTACTGGAACAGCGATCAAGTTGGGTAAAGGAATTCCAGTAAACTTTTGTATACTAAACAAAGTAAACCTATTACTAAATAATTATCCCTAATAAAGAAAAGTAAATGGTTGAACTTCTATTACATCTACATATATGTGGAAATTTTTTCTTCGTGTGTTGCTGACGCAATACTGCACAATTCTAGGAGAAATTACATGATGTTTCACATCCTAATGTAATGAATTCTATGATACTAAACTACGAATTATTAGTGTTAGTTAATTATTACGCTTATTACAGGAAATACATCATTTGTACTAAGGATTAGTAAATGAGTATCAATGAGTATGAAACCTAATACATGAAATACATCCTATTGTATTAGGGATGAGAATAATTGTTGGAAATTTCCAACAGCCATGGGATAAATGAATTCATAAAAACTTGATAAGACATTGCTAGTGTTGTTGATCTTATAGTATTGTAAGCCTGTAAACCTATTTAAGATTAATGTGTGCCCTATTTATTGTATTTCGGGCTATTCATGCCCGTGCCCCTTCTTGGGTGGTTTAATTTTTATCAATCAATCACCTATATAGGAAATGTAGATGTTTATCTCTCAGAATGTTTGGTAATATGTTTATTGTTTGTGATGTGTGTATATGTATGTATTAACACGATGTACTGAACGGGGCGAGAATAGCTTGAGCTACAGCATTTCTTTGTGTGTATTTTACCTCAATAAACTTCTTTCAATTTCAATTTCAATCACCTATATTTTCATTCCTTACCTGAAGATGTTCCAAAGTGAAACGAAACGTTGTAGAAATTATACCCTTCAATATTCATGAGTTCCTTATTAGAAACCTTATTCTGGAGACATATAGCGTGGTCCATTCATGCAAGATCATATACACATAGAAATATACTTCGAAGTCTGGACTCTACATAAGTACTCCGTAGTTTTGCAAACAACACTATGATATCCTGCAAGTTAAAGTAATACGAATTATAGCTTACCTGATTGTCTGGAAGGATGAAACTTCCTAGAATCGTGAGCCTGCCTCTTCACATCTGCCCCTTCCACTAATTTCGTGGTCGAGTCACTGAGGACTCCCTCTCATTTCCCTCCCTCAATAGCAGCTGTCCAGTTATTACTGAATAATATTTCCAAATATTCCCATTTAACAATACTCTACTGGTGGCCCAAATAAAGGAGTTAATTTTCAGTAACAAAACGTTTATATGCATTTTATTGGTCATACATTGTCATCAAATATCTGAAAATATCTGAAGGTAATTTTTGTTGAGAGAAGGAATATTGCCAACCTACGGTCTGCCAGTTAACAGTTCACACGCCGCATCCGTGACACCTACACCCCTTGTGTATATCACGTCTCCCTCTTTCTAGACAAATTACCACATCAAATCTCTCTCTACCATAAATAGTAGATGAGGGTTGTAACAATCACAACATACAACAGGCACTGACAAAGTGCTATTGTCACTGACTGGCATTGACAAAGCTCACAATTTAATGAAAGGAATTGAGTTGAGATAGACATTCAGATAGTCTATATTGCTGTACAAATAATTCGGCTATTTTAGAAGGGGCATACAATGGGGGGGGGGGGCGGGAAAGAGACAGACTCCTGGGCACCGCCTGATAATCCTCTCAGTCGATATATATAAAATCAGTTCTAATATATGAGTCACCAGCAAGGCGCCTGTTCCTCCCGTATCTACTGACAGGTGTTTAGGAATCCCCGGACAATGGCACACGACAGGGAAGGCGAGGCCAACACCCGGGCTGTGGCCAAGGACAAGGAAGGATGGGCCAACACCCTGGCGGTGGCCAAGGACAAGGTAGGTGGGGCCAACACCCGGGCGGTGGCCGAGGACAAGATAGGTGGGGCCAAAACCCGGGCGTTGGCCGAGGACAAGGAAGGCGGAGCCAACACCCGGGCGGTGGCCGAGGACAAGGAAGGATGGGCCAACACCCTGGCGGTGGCCGAGGACAAGATAGGTGGGGCCAAAACCCGGGCGTTGGCCCAGGACAAGGAAGGTTGGGCCAACACCCGGGCGGTGGGCGAGGACAAGGAAGGCGGAGCCAACACCCGGGCGGTGGCCGAGGACAAGGTAGGCGGAGCCAACACCCGGGCGGTGGCCGAGGACAAGGAAGGCGGAGCCAACACCCGGGCGGTGGCCGAGGACAAGGAAGGCGGAGCCAACACCCGGGCGGTGGCCGAGGACAAGGAAGGCGGAGCCAACACCCGGGTGGACAATACCGGCGGCACCTTCCCTGGTCGCTCACTGCTCTCTGGGATCCCAAGCCAAGAACAAGCCGCAGAAGACTTGCTCCCAGAAGCTCGTCCGTGTTAGTTCGTAAGTAAGATATTTTAGTAACATGTGAAACTGTTGTTTTGTCACATGTGTAAGGACTGGCTCTGACGCTCAACCAGAATTAGGTGTAGTTACAGTCCATTTAAACTGAACATATGTGGAACGTTATCTGAATAAATGACAGGTTAAAACGAGGTATAAGTGTGTGTTAGAAAACATATGAATGAGTGAGGTGTATAAGTGTGTCAGGTCAAATGTATGAATGTGTGAGGTGTATAGGTTTGAGTCAGGTCAAATGTATGTGATGTATTAAGTGTAGAAGTGTGTGCTTTATTAGTTTTTTTGGTTTATACTAAGTGTGTGCTGAATACAGTGTATGTGAGGAAGCTGTATAAAGTGTATGAGAGGGTGCTGAATAAGATGTATGAGTTTGTATTGCATAAACAGTATGAGTGGGTGCTGAATTAGGTGTATGAGTGAGTGATGCATAAGCTGTATGAGTGGGTGCTGTATACGGTGTAAGATTGGGTGCTGTATAAGGTGTATGAGTAGGTACTGTATCAGGTGTATGAGTGGGTGCTTTATAAGGTGTATGAGTGGGTGCTGTATAAGGTGTATAAGCAGGTGCTGCATAAGGTGTATGAGTGGGTGCTGTATAAGCTATATGAGTGTGTGCTGTATTAGAAGTATGAGTGGGTACTGTATAAGGTGTACAAGTGTGTGCTGTGTAAGGTGTATGAGTGGGTGCTGTATTAGGAGTATGAGTAGGTACTGTATAAGGTGTATGAATGTGTGCTGTATAAGGTGTATGAGTGGATGCTCTATAAGGTGTATGGGTGTATTCACCTTGTTGTGCTTGCGGGGGTTGAGCTCTGCTCTTTCGTCCCGTCTCTCAACTGTCAATCAATCAACTGTTACTATCTACTAAATAACGTTTTTGTTCACACACACAGGAAGCAGTCCGTAACGGCTGTCTAACTCCCAGGTACCTATTTACAGTTCCTCTATCAGCACCAACACGAGTAAATAGTTCCTATCTCAGCACCAAAACAAATTACTAGTTCCAATCCACAAGAGCCGTGATGAGGGTTCGAACCTACGAACGGGATGTTCCCAGATGCGCCTTAGAACATCAAATCCCTTGTGGATTTGTTCATTTGTTATATCATGCTATTGTGATTTCTGTATGTAACTAGTTCATCTTTCAGCGCCCATACGAATGATTAGTTCTTCTCCAGCACCGACACGAAAAGTAAATTCCTCTCAGTACCTAAACGAATAACAAGTTCCTCTTTCAGTACCAACACGAATAACTAGTTCCTCTCTCAGTACCAACGCAAATATCTAGTTCCTGTCGCAGTACCAACACGAATAACATGTTCCTCTTCAGTACCAACACGAATAACAAGATCCTCTCTCAGTACCAACACGAATAGCAAGTTCCTCTCTCAGTACCAACGCAAATATCTAGTTCCTGTCTCAGTACCAACACGAATAGCAAGTTCCTCTCTCAGTACCAACACGAATAGCAAGTTCCTCTCTCAGTACCAACGCAAATATTTAGTTCCTGTCTCAGTACCAACACGAATAACAAGTTCCTCTTCAGTACAAACACGAATAACAAGTTCCTCTTCAGTAACAACACGAATAGCAAGTTCCTTTCTCAGTACCAACACGAATAGCAAGTTCCTCTCTCAGTACCAACGCAAATATCTAGTTCCTGTCTCAGTACCAACACGAATAACTAGTTCCTCTTCAGTACAAACACGAATAACTAGTTCCTCTTCAGTACAAACACGAATAACAAGTTCCTCTTCAGTACCAACACGAATAACAAGTTCCTCTTCAGTACCAACACGAATAACAAGTTCCTCTTCAGTACAAACACGAATAACAAGTTCCTCTTCAGTAACAACACGAATAGCAAGTTCCTTTCTCAGTACCAACACGAATAGCAAGTTTCTCTTTCAGTACCAACACGAATAACATGTTCCTTTCTCAGTACCATCACGAATTACAAGTTCCTCTCGCAGAACAAACACGTATTACGAGTTCCTATCGCAGTACAAACACGAATAACATCGTTATTCCGATGATCCCGTCATCGAATTACAAGTTCCTCTTTCAGCATTGTTACGATTGACTAGTTTCTTTCTCAGCATAGACTATGACGAGTTTCTTTCTGAGCATCGACACTATTAACTAGTTGCTCTATCAGAATAGACACTATTGACTAGTTCCTCTCTCAGCACGGACACGAATGACTAGTTAATAGCAAAATTGGCCTAATTGAAGTAATTTATTTATACGTCTTGGAGTGAATATGCTGGTCATATTCACTGACACATATATAAGGCATTTGGTCTAAATTGTAATTTAAACTCTAATATTTTTCATGTGGTTACAATCTACTTCATAATATTTTATATATATTAATTAAATTACGAATTTGTAAATGAAACTTTGTATTGTTCACTACCACACAACGCGAACCGAGTGGGCCAGCCAGAGGCTTAGGACCCGGGAAGGAATATACCTGCAATAAAAAAGCAGAGCAGGATGAATTTATTAGATATTCAGTAACTTTATTATAAGCTGTTAAGATGTCGTCCGGTATACCAGATTCAATGACATAGTTACATCGTTGATTGTAAAGTTTTCCAGGAAGCCTTATATAATTTAAAGTTTATATTCAGTAATATATTGTTCAAGTTAATCTTTTACCGGCTCGTCAGAGTATACAAGCTGCATGCTTGTGAAATGACTCAATCTCAGTAACTTGCCAGATGTGCATATATATATCCAAGCAATTTCACGCCATCACTATACTTCACTGCCTTCCGCGATTACAACAGTCTCGTAGTTTTAATAATGCAGATTTCAGATCTTTGGCATTTTTTAGTTGTTCTAAATTTGTAGTAATTACTTTTAGCCTTACTTATTTAATAACTGCATTTAACAATCGAGAATCACTGACTGTAAATTTATCTTTGCAAGCTTCATTATTCACTCGATCTTCAGGCACGCTTTCCAACTCCAATTTGTAGCGTAATACAAACAAATTTTCATCGTTGGTAAAAATCCCATTCCATTTAATATTACAAGCCACTTCAGTCATTTATTATAAGGGTTATTTAAAAACCTATACTTATACTTATAATTGTACTTATAGACTTACAAGAATCCCCCAGTCCCTCAGTAACAATTTAATACTCAATGGGTAGATAAATACCCAACAGTTTAGTACTAATTCCTCTCTGAACTCCTGAACGGATGACACATATGTTCTAAGACAAACACGCCAGTGACACGTGGGTCACACGTGTCCATGGACAAGTGTGAGGATAGGTGGGTAGGTGATTATCAGGAGGAAGGATTAAGCTATTACAACTATATTGCACTGGGAAAAGATATGAGAATAAGGATTTGGGAATGGCCAGAGGGATAGAATGGTGCCCAACCACTTGGACGGCCAGGGATTGATCGCCGACCATCTAGAAGCTAGACTGTCACGTTATCGTCCACTTCAAGTGAATAATTAATAGCTGAACTCTTCGGACCTAAATGAAGATTTTTATTACAAATATCTTACACAGAGCAAACTTGCAAACTTGCACAATAAGAAACAGAAACTATTTATCGTGTCATGATGTGTTGTCAGAAAGCAGGCACGATGGTCAAGTATTTAGGTAATTTGGTTAAACAACGATTAAGTTTAGACGTTATGAAAATGTTTTGTTTCCATGACAAAAAAGGCTGGTTTTGTCATGCAAATAGGCTTGTTTAATTAGTAAACAAGCATAACATAACATCATACAATTTTAAAACAGATTTATAAAATAAATAACAAACACTCTAGTACTAATGAAGAGACCAACATTTTGATCTGGTATGATCCATTGTCAAGTCGAAATTTAATATTGACCTATATGAGTCAAAAACGCATATTTCATTGCTACATTTTTGTATTTAGTGAGCACAGGATCTAAATTCCATTGCTGGAATAATAGCGATTGCAAAATATTGATCATATTGCAGTAATTCAAATAGCAACAGAATTTCATTAATTTCTTGGAATTTATGTTCATTAAATTAGTGACACTTTCAGAAACATCAATCTGAGGCTATCTATTTTGTTTCACACAGAAATGGTACGAAAAATTATTGCCGAAAAAACATCTTTGGTTGAGCGTGCCATGTTTGTTGAGATGTGGAAGAGCGGAATGTCGGCCCGAGCTATTGCTAGGAAAACAGGCACCAGCGTCTCTACCGTGTGCAGGTGGATCAAGCGCTGGAAAACTGAAGGGAACTTGAACACAAAGCTCAGACAGAGTTCGTTTTTAATCAAATATCTCACAAAGAAAACCTGCATTCCTCACAAACTACAGCTATATCCATATCCATCGTCTCCGGATGTCTCTCAGAGACTCGGACAAAAGGCACATCTGTCGCCTTTAGATGACTCTCAGAAACTCTTGCAAGAGGCACATCTGTCGCCTTTAGATGACTCTCAGAAACTCTTGCAAGAGCCATATCTGTCGCCTCCGGACGTCTCTCAGAAACTCTTGCAAGAGCCATATCTGTCGCCTCCGGACGTCTCTCAGAAACTCTTGCAAAAAGTTTATCAGAAACCCTTGCAAGAGGTACATCTTTCGCCTCCGGATGTCTCTCAGAAACTCTTGCAAGAGCCATATCTGTCGCCTCAAGAAGTCTATCAGAAACTCTTGCAAGAGGCACATCTGTTGCCTCCAGATGTCTCTCAGAAACTCTTGCAAGAGGCACATCTGTTACCTACAAAAGTTTATCAGAAACTCTTGCAAGAGGCACATCTGTTGCCTACAGATGTCTCTCAGAAACTCTTGCAAGAGCCATATCTGTCGCCTCAAGAAGTCTATCAGAAACTCTTGCAAGAGGCACATCTGTTGCCTCCAGATGTCTCTCAGAAACTCTTGCAAGAGGCACATCTGTTACCTACAAAAGTTTATCAGAAACCCTTGCAAGAGGTACATCTTTCGCCTCCGGATGTCTCTCAGAAACTC